GTCATACCTCAAAAGAATTAAAATGGTGTCTCCAATCATGCTACCCACGTTAGCTACTTTGTCTCTTTCTTGTTCACATTAAGAGAGAAGTTGTTTGAAAGTAGAACTTCACAACAAGCCTAAATGTTAAACTAATCTTAGATGGCCTATTAAGTAAAGAAATGTGGTGTGCATTGAATTTCAACTCTTAGAATTCTTCATACTTTGATAAAAATATAAAATTGACCGAGTAAAGTACATGTCATTCTTATTCACATATCATACTTATTAGTACTAAATTTAATACACATTGAGTACTTTTAAAATTGATTCCATCTATTATTTTTTTTTGGTTTATTAGAATATATATTTGTTTTTTAAATAAATTAATACAAATAGTGTTTTGAAGGGAAAAATTTATTTCAATTTTTCATTTTGATGTTTCCACGTATAGTGTATACATATAGAGAGATAAGTGTCAAATACACACCTAAACTATCCCTTTTTTTAGTTTCTTACCTAAATTATTGAGAGTGTGCGTTTCATACCTAAAATATCATTTATTAGTTTGAGAAACACACTTCTCTCTTTTATAACACCCTCATCATGGTGTGTGTAATACTATCTCTCTTTTATTTGAAAAAAAATTGTCATATCACACTCCACATGGACAAAACATTTCACCTTGACAAAATAAAATAAATTGTTAGTATTAGTTAAAATTAAAGATTAAAATTACTAGTCCCAAGAAAATATTTTCTTATAAAATAAAATGTGAAATATTTTTCTTACCCCACTCCATCACTCCCTCTCATTGTACCCCCCCCCCCCCCCCACCTCCGCCCATTTTTTTTACTTCATCTCCCTCCCCCCCCCCCCCCCCCCAAATTCTAATTTAAATATTATTTTATTTTTAAAAAAATATAATTCTACCCACTCCACCTAACCCTCCGGTTCCAAATTTTTTCTCATTTTGTGTTAGATATATACATATCGAAAATATCTTTTACTTGCCGCCGCGAGACTTTTTTTAAATAAAATTTTTATTTATGTTATATTCGGTACACAACTAGAAAAAAATCCTAAAAATATATGTACATATCTATCACAAAACGAGAAAAAAAAATTTAAAAAATTATTAGGAGTGAAGGGTTTAAATAGGGTGATGTAGAATTTTATTTTTTAAAAATAAAATAATATCAATTTTTTTTTAGGAATGAATGAGTGGTTTTTTTTTGGTGGGTTGGGGGGGGGGGGGAGGGGAGGGAGAGGGTGAATTATGAATTTTTAAAAATATTTTATAAAAAGAAAGTTTGCAAAATAAAAGGATGGGGGGGGAGAGGGTGAAGTATGAATTTAAAAAAATATATTTTATAAAAGAATTGTTTTTAAAAGAATGGACGGGGATTGTCGGGGGGGGGGGGGTATGGGGAGGAGGTGGTGGAGTGGGGTAAGAAAAATAATTTAAATTTTATTTTTTGGGATAGTTATACTTTAATCTTTAATTAATATTAATAATTTATTATTTAATTTTTATCAATGTGGAATATTTTATCCATATGGAATGTCATGTGTCAAGATTTGTTCAAATAAAAGAGAGTGTATTACACACATTAATGTGTGTTTCTCAAACTAATAAGTGATAATTTAGGTATGAAACTCACACTCTCAATAGTTTAGGTATGAAACTAAACAAAGAGAGGATAGTTTAGATATGTTTTTGACACTTATTTCGAATGTGGCGGAGTCAGAAATTTTAATAAGGAGGTTCAAAATCTGAGAAGTAAACACACGAACTAGTGGAAGGGGGTTCGACATCTATTATACATACCTAAAAAAATAATTTTAATCATGTATAAATAGTAATATTTTTCGCCGAAGGGATTTGGATGAAACCCTCATTATATGCTGACTCCGCCCCTGCCGGGCTGAGGTAGCTCTAGCTACGCTCCTTATATGTCATCCTCATTTTGAGAAATCAATCATATTTTTGAATTTTTTTGCAGTAAAAATTTAATAAAAACACCAGAGCAGAAAAGATGTCCGTCTCTAAAGTTAAGCAAAGTTATGACAGAATGAGTGAATTAAAAGCGTTTGATGATACTAAGGCTGGTGTTTAAGGACTTGTTAATTCTGGAATCACTAAAGTGCCTCAAATATTCATTCTACCTCCAAAAAACAGGGCGGAAAAATGTGAAACAAACTTTACTTTTCCAGTGATAGACCTCCAGGGCATTGATGAGGATCCGATCAAGCATAAAGAGATTGTGGACAAAGTTTGAGATGCATCAGAGACATGGGGTTTCTTCCAAGTGGTTAATCATGGCATTCCAACATCCGACCTTCACAAAACGTTACAAGGAACACCACAGTTTTTCGAACAAGATAACGAGGTTAAGAAACAGTATTACACTCGAGATACTGGGAAAAAAGTGATTTATACTAGCAATCTTGATTTGTATAGTCCTTCTGTTCCAGCTGTAAGTTGGAAAGACGCATTTTTCTGTTTCATGACTCCTAATCCTCCCAGTCCACAAGAATTTCCAACACCATGCTGGTACATATATATATTCTTTTCTTAATCCGAATATATTAAACGTAGCATGACACATGATTTACTTATGCTTAGTGTGAGTTTTGGAGTATATTGTTAGGGAAAACTTAGTAGCTCAGTTAGTTGACTATCTAAAATTGATCAGAAGACAGGTCATTAAGCATACTCTGTTTATTTTTAACAAATATGTCCTGTTTCAATCAATGTGTGCAGGGAAATACTAATGGACTACTCCAAGGATGTGAGGAAATTGGGCCTCTCCTTGCTTGAATTATTATCTGAAGGTCTTGGTCTTGATCGTAGTTATCTGAAAGATTATATGGATTGTTTTCAACTCAGTTATTCGTGCAATTACTATCCACCATGCCCTCAGCCAGAACTCACCATGGGCACCATTCAACATACCGATGATGATTTTGTAACGGTCCTTCTACAAGATGATATCAGAAGACTCCAAGTTCTTCACCAGAATCATTGGGTTGATGTTCCTCCGACACCTGGTGCTCTTGTGGTTAACCTTGGAGATTTTCTGCAGGTTAGTACGCATATACAATATTAAGCAATTTGAAAATTATACTAAATATTTTCAAACACCTTTGCTTATTTTTTGCAGCTCCTGTCGAATGGCAAGTACATAAGTGCTGAGCACAGAGCAATTTCAAACAGAGATGGATCAAGAATGTCAGTTGCGTGCTTCTTCAGTGAAAGTCATGCGCAATCTTCCAAGCTTTATGGACCAATTACTGAATTGTTGTCAGAAGATAATCCTCCAAAATATCGTGCCACAACAGTGAAAGACCACTCTAATTACATCCTTACTAGAGGCGTAGATGGAACTTCTGCATTGTCGCGTTACAAGATCTAATCATCATAGTAATGTAACCATTATTACTACTTCCTTTTGTGTATTTCATACTTCTGCTGATTGTACTTTTGAATTTGAAGTTAAGTTTTTGCATTAGTGTGATAAATTTGAGAATAGGAGGATCCTATTCCACCACATATATTGATGTTTATTCAAACTTTCGCATAACTTCTGCAATGAGTATTGACTTTTTCTAAAAGAAAACTCAAAAACTGAAGAGCTGACAAGTTAAAAAGTCGCAAAAAACTAGTAGAAATGCGCGAAATGAGGAGGGACTTGTACAAGGCTTCTTCTTTATTCATGCTCATTGTGGGAATCGTAGGTAGTTGGACCAACTATAAGTAGCACTTTCATATTCCAACAGGTCCATGGACATCTACAAGGAGTCAAATTTCAAACAATTTTCATAGGTACCAACTTTTATCTATTTTAGGGATCAATGAATACAATACAGAACTCTATCACTATGTGCTAAACTTGATCCGAACACAAATGTGCAGATACTTTTTCAATTAATAACACATTTCATGATGTGTAATCAAAGTTATTGTTGATTTTTATCTTTATCATCAATTGTTTTTTTTTAATTATACCAACGAACCGTCTTTTCTTTTTAAAAGGTTGTCTTTCAGCAAACTCATTTTATTATGAAAATTCACAACGTTTCAAGTTACATCTATTCACGAAATTGAAGAACATGATTAATAAAAAGACACAATGAGTAGGTAGTTCAATCAATTAGTACTTACTGAGACGAAACTAGCGTTATGTGAAAAGATTCACTAACTACCTCATCAATATACACCATAAACATAATAATTTCATAACATAGTCTGATAATCACTGTATTAATTTAATGTCCGATTTTTTTGAATTGTGATTCAGAAATTGATATCCTTTATTATTGAAGGCATATTCTATGAAAACACAATCAATAGTTTTTGATCCTATTTTACCCTTTTGAATTTAGGAACTTGCATCTTAGTCAAACACCCTACACTTTGAAGTAAATCAAGCTGGACTTCCTTTCTTTTCATTTTCATATGGAATAGATTGTGTTTTCTATGGGGCACTCGATTGAGTACTCAACTAGCTGTTAGAGTTACTTTCCCCTACAGGTTCTGTGTTAAATCAGAACTTATCATTATCAATGATTAATAATCATCATTTTTATCGACCAACAAAAGGTGGGTATCCTTTCACCAACATTCATATCGACACAAATAATTCTATCTGAGTAGATGTTTATTTCACTAACATTCATATCGATACAAATATTTTCAAGTATTAATGTAAATCTAATACATGACCAGAAAGTTGTTGTGTAACAAACCAAATAACATTTTGTAAGTATGAAATACACAAACTTGTTTCATTATTCAATAGCAGTAGTAGTTACACTCACACCCAACAACTAAACAAATACTTCCTTCGTTTCCAAGCAAGTGATGTTTTTATTTTCGGCATACCCTTAAAGAAAACTACTAATTCTTAGATATTAAGATGTATTTTTATTAACTTTAAATACGTTGAAAAAGATAAAAACAACCCTTATTTTGATCAAGGGCTGTAACACCACTTATTGGTACATTATTATTGTGATTAGATCTTGTAACTCAACAGCGCAGAAGTTCCATCTAGGCCTTTATTAAGGACATAATTTTTGTAGTCAATCACTGTGGTTGCACGATATTTTGGAGGATTATCTTCTGATAACAATTCAGTAATTGGTTCATACAGCTTTGAAGATTGCAATGGATTTTCGCCAAAGAAGCACGCAACTGACATTCTTGATCCATCTTTGTTTGCAATTGCTCTATGCTCAACACTTGTGTACTTGTCATTTGACATGAGCTGGAAAAACAATAAGCACAACTTGTGGGTTTTAGTACAAAAATAAACAAAGATGTTTCAAATGGCTTCAACGATTCATTTTGTTTTCATGCATATGGTCGGGGTGCATCAGATATAAGATTATAAAGAAAAGAGTACTAGCCTGCAGAAAATCTCCAATATTGACGACAAGAGCACCAGGTATAGGAGGAACATCAAACCATTGATTTTGGTGAAGAACTTGGAGTCCACCCATATCATCTTGTAGAAGCACTGTGATAAATTCAGTGTCGGAATGTTGACTGATGCCCATGGTGAGTTCTGGCTGAGGGCATGATGGATAGTAATGGCACAAGCAACTTATATGACAACAATCCATATAATCTTTGAGATAGCTACGATCGAGACCGAGACCTTCAGACAATAATTCAAGCAAGGAGAACCCCAATTTCGTCACATCTTTGGAGTAGTCCATTAGAATTTCCCTACATAAATTCATTGAAACAGGACATATTTGTAAGAAAAAAAAACAGAGTAAATAACAGAGTATGCTTGGTTGCCTCTCTGTGGTTATGGTATATAGAAATGTACCCGCACGCTTTGGGGAATTCTTGTGGACTAGGAGGATTCGGAGCCATGAAAAATAAAATTGAGTCTCTCCAACTTGCAGCTGGAACAGAAGGGCTATACAAATCAAGATTGCTAGTATAAATCACCTTTTTCCCAATATCTCGAGTGTAATACTGTTTCTTAAACTCGGTATCTTGCTCAAAAAACTGTCGTGTTCCTTGTAATGTTTTGTCCAAGATGGATGTTGGAATTCCATGATTAACCACTTGAAAGAAACCCCATGTCTCCGATGCATCTCGAACTTTGTCCACAATCTCCTTATACTTGATCGGATCCTCATCAATGCCTTCGAGGTCTATCACTGGAAAACTGATGTGCGTTTCACATGTTTCCACCTGTATTTTGGCGGTAGAATGAATATTCTAGGTACTCTATTGATTCCAGCATCAACAAGCCCTTTGACACCAGCCTTAGTATCATCAAAGGCTTTTAGCTCACTCATTTTGTCATAACCATTCTGAATTGTGGTCTGAAAATCATCTTTTTTGCTACAGACTGCCATCTTTGTTTCTCTGATGTTATAAACAAGATGGCAGCACAATATACATTTATAGGAGAATGGAAACAATTAAAAGAACTAACTACACAGAACAACTCTATACTATAACTCAATTATGGATAAATCCCTTACAATAAAACACTTGGGGTCGTTTGGTAGCTGGATAAGGCAAAGCTAATACATGGATAACTTGGTTATTCATGTATTAATTGTATACCATGTTTGGTTTGCAAATAGGATAAAAGTTATTCATGTATTAATTTTGTACAGTGTTTGGTTGCAGATTTTCAAATGTTGCATAAAAGTTATTCATGTATTATTTTATACGGCGTTTGGTTGCCTTTCTTGTAATCTTACATAATTAATACTTGTATAACTTGTGAGGGAATCTATGTATAATTTAGGCCAGACAGAAGGTGGAATAAGTCATGTGGGTATTAGTTATACATGTATTAAAATGGTAAATTACACATTCACCCCTATTAATTTACTCTTATATATATATATATATATATATATATATAACTAATCAAATAATTAATACATATTAAAAAATGTACTACCATTTTTTTCTTTGAGTTTAGTCTTGATAATTGCTTAATTTCTTTCCTTAAATTCTTGTTAATTGTTTTCTTTTTAGTTAAAAATACAAGTTTTATTTTTTTTGCTTAAAAATACAAGTTTTTTTTTTGCTTAAAATACAAGTTTTAATTTTTTAGTTATCTATTATTTAGTTTAATTTACATTAGATACTACTTAATTACTTAATCACATTGAATACAAATTACTTAATTTCTTTTAGTTATTTGTTACTCCCTCTGTCCCATTTTATATGAGATACTTTGACACGGCACGAAATTTAAGAAAGAAAGGAAGACTTTTAAAACTTGTGGTTCAAAATGAATGATAGAAATTTGTGTAGTTGTAAATCATTTCATTAAGGGTAAAATAGACATTTTATAGCTAAATTGTTACTTAAAATAGAAATGTGTCATTCTTTTTGGGATTGACTAAAAAAGAAAGTAAGTCATATAAATTGGGACAAAGGGAGTAGTATTTACTTTGCTATTTTTAGCTATTGGTATTTATTTAATTTTAATGTATCATTTATAAAGTTGGTTATTTTAATGGTTATAATAAATATTAGCTCACTAATAACTTTTGAAATTAAGAAATAAAAATCGATTCATTAGTATATTGTAATCTCTATCTAACTATACCTTGCATAACTAATACCTACATAACTAACACATGTATAGTTAAACCCTACATAACTAATACATGTATAACTAAACCCTACATAACTAATATATGTATAGCTAAACTCTACATAACTAATACATGTATAACTAAATCTTGCATAATTAATACATGTATAACTAAACCCTGCATAACTAATACATCTATAACTAATGTAACACCTCAGAACGTAACATACCTGAACAACAGAAATTTTGGTGAACTACAGAAGGGTTCACAGACCGTGAAAGGAACCACGGTCCGTCGACTTGCTCGTGGTTCCCACCCACCCAGAATTGGTAGACCACAGAGCCCTCCACGGGCCGTGGACCCACACATGAGTCGTGGTATGGCTCGTGGAAGCGAGGCAGAACCACCAGAACTCAGGCATCAAACTACGGAGCCCACCACGGGCCATGGTCTTGATGACGGATCGTGAATGGATCCGTCATCTTGAGCCAGCAGACCTCTAGCCCCAAGTGAAAAACCACGGTGGCTTTCACGGTCTGTGGTCCTTCACACGATCCGTGAAGTGGACCGTAGATAGGGGTGCCAAGAACCAGTAGACACTGGCCAACAACCACGACCCACTTGATGGGTCGTGGTCCCTTTGACGGTCTGTTAGTGGTTCCATGGTCGGCCCTCGTTAGCTTTTAAGTCAAGATCGTTTTGGTCTTTTCCCCTATGTATTGGACACCTAAACTATGTCGTTTAATACCTGAACTACGTCGTTTTACTCAGTTTAAGCCTAATAATCTAGTCAGAACCTACCCAAAACCTTTATTCACCAAAAATCATCTAAACTTAGAGCAAAAAGGAGAAGAAAGGCGTGTCAGTTTCCCAAGAACAATCAGAAGGTATGTTTCAAGTTTCAGCCCCGAAATCGAAGGATTTCTTCGTAGATTTTGTCACCAGGTATGTGAGATTTCACTAGTGGGTTTCTTTCATCCACTAGGTCCCTATAATTTAGTCAGTTAATTGATTCTCCATATCTTGTTTAGACCTAAGGTTTCTAAAACCTTGGATATTTATGTGATTTAGTTGTCGTTGTATCCTAAATCAAAATAGCTTGTTTCTTGGAAAGTTTGCATAATTCCTTGTATAAAACTCAGAACTCTAGTTTGTGTAGATTCTCTTAGTTCATGAATTACACTTGCTAGGTCAGTTAAACAGATAATCATGCTTCAAATTTTGAATGTCACATTATCAGTATATAAATGTTGCATTCTCAGATTGCATGCTAGTATTTTGAGCTATTCAGTATTGCAGTTACATTTGTGTCATATACATATTCAGTTGGGAGTAAACTTAGCGTCGAGTTGGACTAGGATTTAGCATACCCTCATAGTCCCATAACTATGTGCCCTTGTAGGAGTATAAGTCCCCTCTGTTAGGCATCAGATTTAGTGATCACGCTAGTTATGCCTTTAAACCCTTGGCAAGGTATATTGGGTCCTCTCGGTGGGGTATATACATCGGACTCCATGTTTAGCTCACGTGGTTTATGTCGGTTAACAGTAGCTCCCACAGTCAGACTCCTAGTACATTTGACCAAGTTTTCAGTATATATTTCAGCATTTAGTTCAGCATGTTATTTTCATGATTAGTACTTGGTCATTGCATTCAACTTAGCTTTTAAGTTATGTTTCAGTATTTACATCCTTTCTCAGTTTATGTCATTGCTCAGTTATGCTTTGTTCAACTTATTATTTATATCATGCATGCTCAGTACATTCCAAGTACTGACCCATACTCTGCACTACATCCTTTTATGAAGTAGGTTCAGGTACTCATTATCCATATCGAGCTTAGATCGATTCTCGGTCCGCGTTTCAGCAACTTTAGTGGTGAGTCCTCATACTTCGAAGACAATAGACATGCTTTTCATTTTAGTTTTGTTATTTAGTTTTCAGTTTTGTTAGAGTTAGCTGAGGGGCATGTCCCAGCAACTCAACTCAGTTAGAGGCTTTTCAGACATAGTAATAGAATCAGCTTGAATTGTTAAGTTTATCTTTCAGTTGTTATTAAACTCTTAGTATGGTTTATACATTCATACTATTTGACGTTTCCCCATTTTTTTCGTTATCCATTATTTTAGCTTCTGCATAGTATATGTCTTATTCAGTTATTCTCAATATGCTTGATATATGCCTGACGCAGGGTTAGCTTGGGGTCACTTGTGATTCTACGTCCCGTGTTACGTTAAGGGGGTAGCCTCGGGGCGTGAAAACTAATACCCACACTACTAATACATGCACAACTCTATCCAGCTACCAAATGGCCCCTTAAGGGCAGTTCGGTTACTGGATAAGGGTTGAGTTATTCATGTATAAAACTTTGTATAAGCTTTACGATGTTTGATGGAAAAAATTCAACACACATGTTACTATGTTTGGTTAGCAAATTAAAATGTCACATAACTAATACATGTATACGTTATGAGTCAATCTATGTACTGTTTTATGCGAGTAGAAGATGAAATAACTTATACCTGAATAACTAATACATGAATAAAAAGTTAAAATGACTAAATTACCCTACATCACTCCCAATTAAATATAGTCTTTTTCTAAGGTTATAATCAATCCACTGTATGTCGTTTTCTAAATCTCAAATTTCTTCATCTTCTCAAAGGCAAATCTTGGAGAATCGTTCAATCTAATGGCTAGAAATAATACCGATAAATTGTTGAGGAAGGGATGGTGACAAATCTGAAATAGAATTTTTTGCTTTGCTCTTGGTTACTGTGGGATTCCTTGACCTCCGGCATTGGTTCGAATAGTCTAGTAGCAGATCGAACAAACTTATTGGTAGCTTCGATGAAGTATTTGGAAGATCAGCCAACTTATCATTTTTCTTTGGAAAATTACATGACAAAGCAAACATATACTACTTAACTATTTATCATTGTTATCGTTGTAAAAAATTACCGCGCCACTAACCTTTCTTCCTATTTACTAGGAACCACTTCCGGATTTGTATACTACCATATTTTTTGTTTCCCCAATATACAAATTGTTTTTCTCTCTCATCCTAATCTTTTTACTATTTTTTCTCCTTAATTAACTCATGCACAATCAAATTTGAAATTTTAAATCATGCTCCCACAATTTCAGGTAACTTAATAGTTGTATTTGTAAGATCTAAATTGCAAGAAAAGTCTATTACGAGAGTGCAAGGACGTGGGACCAAACACTCTAAAAAAAAAGGCTGACCTAGGGTTTCCTTCCTAGCCAGCAGCTGCGCAGCTCTCATGGCTGCTACGACCACTGGACAACCTCTTTTCGAGGCTGTCCAGCCCGCCCCACCATTCCAAACCAACACATATGCCACCTTTTTCAATTTCAATATTATAAATCCTAAACAATCTGCCCTAATTAACTCAAAAACAATCGCAAAATCAATCAAAATAATTCATGGAGAACCTACTATCACGTTTTCAATGGAGGAAAGGCAAGACTTTATGATTGAAGAGGGATTGCATCAAGCAGTGGTGTTTAAATTATCCCATGGTGCGCCATATTTGAAGGTATTAAGGTCAATTTTACCAAAATATCTTGGTACCAAGGGCAATTGTTTAATTGGCTTACTTGCTCCAAGACAAATTTTGTTAAGATTTGATCAGTATGAAGATTATGTACTACATTTATCTCGCTCAGTTAATTATCTTCTTTACAATAGAGAGGAGCACAAATGTAGGGTTTTTCCATGGTCCATTGGATATAATCCTAAGGAGGAAACGATGTTAACTGTGGTTTGGATTT